GTGGCTGCACTCAAGAAGATGCTGCCTATTGGCCTGAATATGTGCACTCCAGGAGATCAGGAGCTGATCTCCCTCGCAAAATCACGATATAGCTATGTAAGCTGCCTGTCTGCCTGGGCTGAGCATGCAACACAGGTGGTGGTCATGATAGGAGGGTTAAATAGAAACCAAGGTGTACAGAGGCAACATGCCCTCATTTTTAAAGGTAGTTTGGGAGTTAATGTGTGCCCTTTGGGACAAGTCTCTAATTTTTCTTCTTTGTTCTTCTAATAAAGATCGCAGCCCAACTGTGCACTGATCCTAGCCCAACTGCCTATGCATCCCTGTACCCTACTTTACATTTCCACAGTGATCTCTAGGAATAAAATTTAACATCTCTTTCCACAGAGGGACACAGATGAAGAGGTCAAAGAACATCTGCGGAATAACTTGCATTTGCAGGAAAAGGTGATACCACAGGAAGACCATGAAAACTCACACAAGCTTTCCTTCTGGCTGCAGGATTCAATTCTCCCATGTAGTTTACTCATGTTTTTGAAATGCATTCTAAAACCAGTCTTGGAGTACTTGTGTTTAATTTGTAGGACCAGCTTTCTGCCCTTAATTTTTGTTCTATCCTTTGCTATTACAAAAGAGGGTACAAAGAGGCATCCAGTAGAGCATATCTTCTCACTTCCTATTTGGTGAACATCAAGCTATAGCAGGGGGGATTTAGATTAGGTCCCAGAATGTATTGACTGTGAGACTTGTTAAACAGTGAAATGCACACCTAGGGGAAGTTTTAGCACCTCCTGCTCGAGAGAGATTTTGAAACTAAATATTTTGTGTCTGAGTTAGTATAATAAAAAAAAAAAAGAAATCCAAGCCTGTGAACCTGAACAACTGTTTGCGTAGATACATTATGCTCCAAGATGGAGATCTAAGCCAACACAAAAAGCCTCTCCTTTCCTCCCAAAACATATAGGAATGGTGGATAAAAATATACTAGAAAAAAGGCAATACAAAGAAATCCCAGGTGCCATAAAAAAGAAGATACTCTAAATCACAGTAATGGGAAGAAGTTGATGCTGATGGGAAAACTCATGGAGTTCTCCAAGCCAAATATATATCTAAAGGGGTGGGATTTTTAATAACCTTAAAGGAAGAGGAATGTGAGACCTAATTGCCATGCTGTGCATAAACGCAGAGAGATAAACTCGCATAAAATTAGCCTTGAACTGGTGAAATCCAGGAATCTCCTGCAGAGACAACCGTGAAGCCACTTAAAGAGTTTCCACTTCCTAAAATATGGTCTGGGATGCTAATAGTCTTTTCCTGAAGACAAGCTCTTATAAAAAAAAAAAA